TGGACCGGCGAGTACTGCACCGAGCGTAAGTGTCCCGCTGTGGGGTGGGGTGGGCCGCAGAACCGGGACCTTCGTGGGCATCAGGCAGGCCTGGAAAACTCAGGGAGGTCTCAGTGCATGCAGGACCATCACCAGCTTTGGGTTCCTTATGCCCTCGTCTGCACTGACAGGGTGTTAGCATGGGGTTGGGATGGCGTGCAAGAGGCCTCCCAGAAAATGCAGCCCCGTAAGGCATCAGGGAGCTTATTTGACAAAGGGACTCAGGACCCAAAAGCGCAACTCCTTGTCCAGTTCCACCAGCTGGCCTGGCCCTGCTTGTAGCTGTCTTTGTGGTCCACCCTTAAAACACTGTGGCTTCAACAGCCCTGCAACAGTGTGTTACAAAGCCTGTAACTACACAGTTACCCGGTAGGCACTTGGGGCCACGTTTCCGTGCTGACCTTTCCACTGGAGAGAGAAAGCTCCATGCTGAGGACTTTGGCCCTTTTGGCTGCGACTGCCCATGCTGTGCTTCACGTCTGCGAGCCCTCGCAGCAAAGAAGGAGCTAGCAGGGAAAGGTTCTTGGCTGATATCCCCAAATCAGCAATATCTATTCCAAGTTAAAATACTACCAGCTTGCCCACACAAATGTTTCCATCGTTCCTGTTGCCAGAGGAGAGGAGACAGGTGTTGCGGTGGAGTAGTGGGAACCTTTGCTGTAGGCTTGGAGTCCCGCTGGGTTTTTTCAGTCTTCTGTTAGCACAAGCCAAAGCCACCCTCCTCTTGCTCCTTTTCTAGCAGGAGTTGAAAGAGTTCATGTTTGTTGTATAAACAACAAACTAAAGAAAAACTAAAGGACAATTTGTCAAATGTTGGCTCTCCTTGTTCACTTCCTCCTGCTCCAGAACTCCCTGTACTGAGAGTTTTTAAAACAAATCTTTGGAAGCGCAAAACTGGTTTTCAAAGTATTTTTTTAAAAGTTGGCATTGCCCCTTTTAAAAGTGTATGCTGTAGTGTCGTGTGCCTTTACCTAAACATTTCTGCTTTTTTATGTTCTCTTTACAGCCATCTGTCTGTCTGGATGCACGGAACAGAATGGATATTGCAACAAGCCTGGAGAGTGCATGTAAGTATATGGCAAATGCCATCTGAACTTCAGTTAAAATGCCACCTTGTAATAGAAACTTAAACTCTTTTCCGTGTCATTAATGTTTTAATTTGACTTCTCTTTTAGCTGTCGTCCCGGTTGGCAAGGCCGCTACTGCGATGAATGTGTTCCCCATATAGGCTGCAGCCATGGGACTTGTAAAACACAATGGCAGTGCATATGTGATGAAGGATGGGGTGGCCTTTTCTGCGATCAAGGTTAGTCCCCCAGGTTGTGCTTACAGCTCTAGACTGGGCATTCCTCTGTGCTTGACAAAGGAATCTGACCCATCAGACCTAGAATTAAATTTCTGCAAGGTACATGTTGATAGACATCAGTTTGTACCACAGCTGTCTTACGTACCAATATCTGTAGTAATGTTGGTTGAAGACAAGCAAACCTTTTTGATAGCTTCAGTTTTTCTCTTGGAAAAACAACCAACCAACCACCTGGATGAGTGTTGAACAGGCAAGTTTTCTGCCTGCTCAAAGCTAAGTTTAACTTATTCCCTGTGCAACTATAACAATTTAGTAAACAGCTTCCAGCAGCAGTAAACACCATCATTTGGGCCTTCCTTATTCTGCATACAAGGAAGTTAACTCATGTGATAAGTCTGGAGCATGAGAGAAAAATCATGTAAGCAAGAATGAAAAGTACAGGTTCCATTTTAAGGTACACCAGAGCACTTCCACCTATTCAACCCATTGAATCACTGAACCATAGCCAGCGGAGCAGTCATGTCCTCAAGGCCATATATGCACTGCTGGCACTGAGATCATTAAGTGCTCAAAGCAAGCTAAGTGTTTTCCAGACAGTTATAGGATTAAGATGGCGAAGTCTGAATTAAGCAGGAAAAGTGAAGTTGCAGGGTTTTTTTTTGCTTGTAGTTATCTATTAACCAGTTGTATTCCAATTACTCTATGGTATTTATAGAGCTTATAAAGATTTTCTGCTTATGTTCTATGAACTTGTGTACTTAACCTCTGTCTCAAATTTAAAGGAAAAATAAAAAGGACCGTCAAGCTTGGCGGAGCATTTAGACAGTTTAAACTACTAACATTCATAACAAGAGAGCATGGTAAATAAACAATAAAAGATTTCTAGTGTTTGTTTAAATCTCCGAGCCTAAACATCTTTATTTCCTCCCTGGCTCCCCCGAAGGTGCCTCACTGTGAACCTTTTAAAGATGGGGCTCACTGGTTTAGTACATGGCATGTTGCGCACAAAGTCTCTATGGTGCCATGGGGTCTTTTGGAGAACACACACTTATGAAGTATGTTTTCCAACTTGGCATCTAAATCCCATTGCAGCTACTGGGGTTATGCACACAAAAAAGGAAAGGTATACCAAAGCACTGAGAAAGTTAAATTCTTGCCAGGTCTTTCAAAATTCAGAGCTCACGTATGACAGTGATGGACGTAGAGAAATATCTGACACCGATGATAATATGATTATTACTGATAATAACCTGGAAAATAGTGTCCAGTATTCCTGATGATACCAAAATTAAATACTTCATTGAAAATCCTGTCTTTTTCTGTTGACTAAAGCATTTGTTGTATGAATGTCTTTTTGCAGCTCTCAGGGATGTTTTCTCTAACTCCCGGTATCTTTGCAGATCTGAACTACTGCACTCACCACAGACCATGCAAAAATGGAGCAACCTGCATGAACACTGGCCAGGGCAGCTACACGTGTTCGTGCAAACCTGGCTTCACCGGTGTTGACTGCGAACACGAGATCAGCGAGTGTGACAGCAATCCCTGTAGGAATGGCGGTAGCTGCACGGTAAGGGCATTTTAAATGTGAAGTCTTTTGTGTGAAGCAAGCCCCGGTATACCTTTTCAGAAGTGGTTCTGTAACAACAGAATGGGAATTTGATAGTACATGGGTTCATTACTGACGCCCACAGCTATCAAACTGAACCCTTCCCGAGAGGTGTCGGGGAGGAAGTCTGTTACAGGAGGAGATGTATCATCTAGATTAGAACCAGTCAACTGATCCTCAGGTTTCTGTGGCAGCCATTATGGGAGCTTGGCAAGATCCAAGGTTGGTGAGGGAGCAGATCGGTAAAAAATAAGCTTGTCAAGGTTCATGCAGAAATGCTCTAAGTCTGTATTTTAATAGCAAATAAAAGAAAACTGCTGCTTTCTGCTCTGGGAGTGTAGTGTCAGACAGTATGAGGCCAATCAGCTGAAACACTTTCAGTAAAACAGGGTTCTGCATTTTTAGTTTCCTGCAGTCTAGTGTTTCAGGGTGTTTTCACACCCAGTCAATGATTGAGTCTATCTGTTGATAAAGACTGATCGATTATAGATATCAGATGTAATATGATGCATATTTAAATTAAAGCTAATGGTGCAACACCCTAGCTCCCTCCTCCCAAGGCTTTGGACATACAGTACTTGGAAAGAAGGAACAGTTTTGTTGTGACCTAAGTGGTGGGACTTATCCATGGCAAAGCAACGTAAGCCCTTGTAAAGAGAAGAAGTGCTCTCACGCTGAGGATGAATGGCCTGATCACAGCTGTGTAGGTTGACGCATGCCATTCCGCTCTAGGACCATCTCGGGGATCCCATTAGGCAGCAGGGGTGTTAGTGATGTTGTTGCTAGTTGCCTGTAGGCTCCCTACAACTGCATCTGCTCTGCTTGTGTGGCTGCGTGATTACTCCTACACGCCAAGTATGGCCGATTCGCAGCTCTGTCCTTCACTGTCCAGCCTGCAGTTGGAGGCAGCTCCCCAAAAGTTGCTTTTGCCACATCAGAGTGTGGATGAGAAGGGACAGAACAGCAGTTGCTGCTGGCCAAAAAGAAGCGTGCAAGCAGCTAACGTTTGGTGGCATCAAGTAACAGTGGCCTAATGCTGTGTTTTGCAGGATATGGAGAACGGTTATCACTGCCTGTGCCCCCCCGGCTACTACGGCACTCACTGTGAGCACAGCGCTTTGACGTGTATAGATTCTCCCTGCTTTAACGGCGGCACGTGCCTGGAGAAAGAACAAGGGGCCAGCTACACTTGCGTCTGCCCTTTCGGCTTCACGGGGTCAAACTGTGAAAAAAAAGTGGACAGGTGCACAAGCAACCCATGTGCAAATGGTGAGTCTTGTTATCAAAAAATTACGTGTCTGACTCGTTTGTGCTTTTCAGTGCAGAAGTGATAGAAATCCAATCTGACCTCTACTCTTCCTCTAATACATTAGTCCCTCTCCCCCACTGTATCCCATATCTACCCTCATTTTGGTCTCTTGCTGGTGGGGGGAGGGCTTCCACTGGCATTTTCTATGCAACAAAAGATTGCACAGGATTTAGCATGTGATGGGGAAGTTAGCAGAATTAAGTAGATTAAATTAATTTCATTGCGTATTTAGAAGGGGCATATTTTTAAGACATGGTGATACAGTTATGTAAAATAGAAGAAACTTCTAGGTGTGCAGCTATATTGTAAAATAACCTCCCTCTTCTTGAGGTAGTGTAAAATGCTTACCACGGAGGGGTTTAGGTTTCTGAGTGAAGTACATTAGAGACTAATTTATTTATTTATTTTACTTCTTTTTTCCTCAGATGGTAATTGCTTTTACCTTGGTCAGATTCGCGTGTGTCGTTGTCGGGCTGGTTTCACTGGTCAGAAATGTGAAATAAACATCAATGATTGTGCCAGAAACCCATGTTCCAATGGGGGAACCTGCCATGACCTGATCAACGATTACACCTGCATGTGCTTGCCAGGCTACAGTGGCAGGAACTGCGACATCAAAACCAGAGACGAATGTGCTTCTGGGCCGTGTGAAAATGGAGGCACATGCTACAGTGGACTTTACAGCGCCAACTTTGTCTGCTACTGTCCTTCCGGCTTCATGGGCAACCGTTGTGAACTGCCTGTTTATTCCGTGCCCGTTACGCTCCCTCCTAAACCAGTCCCCTGGATTGCTATATCCATGGGGGTGGGGCTGGTGGCTTTGCTCATCCTGTTCTGCATGATAGCGATGGTCATCAGGCAGATGAGGATGCACCCGGAGCAGGACTTGGAGACAATGAACAACCTGTCTGACTTCCAGAAGGACAATCTCATTCCAGCTTCCCAGCTCAAAAACACCAACAAAAATAAAGACCTGGAAGTGGACTGTGGGCTGGAGAAATCCAACTACAAACCCAAGAATCATAAACTGGACTACAATCTGGTAAAAGACCTGACAAGTAGAGGGTCACAGGAAGATAAATATTACAAAAGCGAAAAGTGTTTAGGAGAAAAGTCGCCCCTCCGACTACACAGGTGAGAGAACACGGTCTTCCTTCTAGTTCTTCTTAAGCTCCCTCATCTTCATGCCAGTCTAGAAGCAGATGAGCAAATATGGTGAAAAAAAGAAACGTTGAGGGGATAATATACAAAACAAACCAGAGCAAAACCAGGAATCTTCATTTGTGTCACAGCTGAGTGGTATCCTTAGGTCAGGCAATTAAATTGAGTGTTTGTGCAGTGTGCTGCTGGGCTGGGTACTGTGAAGGGGAACAGCAGTGGCTAGTCCAGTGGTGAATGAAAGGAGTGTCTTTCCTTACTCGGTAGATACTGGAGGAACAACAGTTAAGGCATATAGTGATGAAAAATAAGTGTTTGGCTCATTAAGAAGGCAAAATGGTCTGCTTACTGAGAAAAAGATACAGTAAAAATAACTACTCTTTAAAAAAAAGAAAAGGGCAGTTGTTCAGTGGCTCATCAGTCTTCTGATATGTGTACTGAAAGACTTGTGTGGGATCTACTTGTGGCTGTTTCACTGAGGGATCCAAGGAGCACGCTGTTAGGTTGGACATGGGAGAAGCACAGGAAGGCAGTAGCTATTCCTTACCTCCACTTTTCTATTATAATGTCCTGCCGTCATATAGAACATGGGAAACTTCATCCTCTGCACTCCCTCCCACACCTCCATGGCTATCTCATTCCACACCTCCATATTCATGGTAGATTTTGAGAGTCAGGCTTGTTACAAGTCAAATAATATTCTTTTCTCTCTGCTTTCTCTTAGTGAAAAGCCAGAATGTAGGATATCAGCAATATGCTCTCCGAGGGATTCAATGTACCAGTCCGTCTTCGTGATAACAGAAGAAAGGAACGAGTGCATCATAGCCACAGAGGTAAGAAAGTACACGTGTGAACAGGCATAAATTTACAAAGTAAAGGGGCAAATTACCCTTTAGAATTGCCTCTGAGAGGGTCACTCTATTTCCAGGGATCCCAGGTACTTCCCTGCATTCACTTTTCCTCTTCTGTGGCCCACAGGAGTACCTAAACAAACAATGTATACAGCGGGGGGCGGAGGTAGAAAGAAATTAGCAGCTCTGATTTTATTAAACCAGAGATTTTGAGCTTAGATAAATCAGCAAGAGATGAAAGCATGGAACATCAGCCCATAAAAAAATCAGTACATTGTAGGATTATTTAATTTTAAATAGGTAGTCAGCAAAAAATGGAAGTAATCATTCATAGGCACATTGATATAAAGCCATGTTTTTTTCCCTTGACTACAATGGATAATTTGTGTTCTGGGGAAACAGACAAAGCTATAGATTTCCGGCAGAAGATGGAAGGTAGCTGAGTGTGTAAATGGACAGACGTAACAGCAATTTAGGAAGTCTGTAATAAGGTAATTTCAACCTCTTGGTGTTTCAGCTCCAGCTATGTATTCTCTAACAGAAGTTAGCACTGTTTCTTATGCTATTGATAAACACATCTAGATTTTGATGTTATTTTGAAAAGTCAGAGGACAATACATGAAAAAGGAAGGGCCTAGCATTGAACAATCCAAAGACTTTAAAAAACAGCTACTGAGGAACGGACTGGTTCCTGAAGAACTACTGACCTTTTGGAGAAAGGCCCAATGGAAGTTAAAGGCGATTTAACATTAACCCATAAACGCCTTCTTCAGCGTAGCCATCATTAGGACAAGTTGCAGGTAGTTTCAGGCTCCAGGAAAGGGAAGATTGCTGTGCTGCATAGCAGTGATTTGTGAAGTCAAATCTGCAGGACTCTGTCTCCATTGCCAGGTGGATATCAGATTTCCTCTTGGAGGCAAGCTGGAACACAAGTCAACCAACAATATTAAAAGTTTAACTGAAAGGATTTTCAAATATAAAAATGACAGCTAGACGCTTCATTCCCATTACCTGATCTAGATACCATGTCTTCCTTTGAAGATCTTGCTGACTAAAGCTAGACTCCCAGATTTACATCAGGCATATCCACAATTATTATTTTCAGAATGACAGTTTAAACTGCAGTGATGTCTGGCTTATATTACTTTGGTTTGACGCACTTGAATTGTACTTTGTTAGTTCTGCAGTGCTCTGTGCTTCCTTCTTATTCCTGGTATTATTTTATATCCTGGCAGGTATAAGACTGAAGATCAGCCCATTTGCACCTCAGATTTGGTAATGCCAGTAGATGGACGTTCCTGCTGCATTGTTTACAATTCAGAACTGGATTGGACTATTTTTAATTACATGCAACTTGCTGCTCTCAGGCGGAAGATGGAACTGGGTGAACTGGACAGACTGTGAATTTCCCGAAAGATGCAATACACCTTTTTGTTCTTACTGCTCTTGTTTGAAGTTTGATACCAGAAATCTCATTGGCTATAGAAGAGGGGAGGCAGAGGGGAGAGAGAGGGGTTAAAAATGTTGGTTTAATTTGGTTTTAAAAGATACTGAGGCCAGTTCCTCATGGACAGACCCCTGGCTTTCCAGAACTCTGGTTATGGGAGGTGCCAGTAGATGAGGAGGCACTGAACTATCACAGATGTTGCCATGGAAGGTGTGAAGAAAGACACATTGCTATGCAGATAATGGATACAGTATAAATGAGGTCTCCATTTTTTTTCTGGGTTTAAAAGTGCCTAAAATGTGTCAAGAGAATCTAACAAGCCCAAACAGAGACTTGACTGCTCTTTCTGCAGTTACCTGAACAGTATTGGGCAGGTGTGGTTGATACTTCCTGCTACACATCTATTTGAGTCTCCTCTCTCCTGCTGCATGCACTGGGGATGGTGTAAGGGGCGAGAGGAGGAAGGAAAGAGGAATACTGAATTTACCGAATGTCGCCTCATTTGGTGATGCTTTGGAGAACTAATATAAGACAGGGTTTTTGTGGATTTAAACATTCGAGAAGGAAAAGTTGTGATGAGGAATGTGTACTGCCTCTTCCCCATTGATAAGGAGGAGAGGCGTGATCCCAGCTCTATTTAAAGCCTTACAAATGCGTTTAAAATCAATCAGCTCTTAGAACCTATATGTGCTGAGCTGTCTCAGCTGTTTTCATGCCCTTTGCACTACCAGTGATTGTGAATAGACATTACGTTTTTCTTCTCCTTCCTCATTCTCTTCCCCACACTCCCTCTTATTTTGACAAAAATTTGTGGGTTTATGTCGTGTTTCTGAATTAGGTGCCACCTTCTGCTGCAAATAGTCTCAAAGTTGCAGCTGTTACTTTCTGAAGGAGTGTGATCCCCCCAACTCCAACTCCTGTCCCTCATCCCGGTTCCAAATGCCCAATAGCAAAGCACCCACGGAGACCCCCCCTGCCAAGCCAGGTGAGGATCAGCATTAGAAGGTTCTGGGCTCATCCCATTCCTTTTGTACCCACCCACTGCTACATGGAAAAGGGGAAGCATGTGCCTGCAAATCAGAGGTGTGCAGCAGCTCTTCTCTTACACATGTATTTCCAGCAATAATATCGCACACCTTGGTGCTGCGACACTGAGGAGATGAGACTGTGGAGAGGGGCAGAATGAGGAGGGAGGAAACGAGATCTCTTCGAAGCAACCTGGACTGTGCTGTCTCCCGGCCGACAGTGTTCCTGCCCTTGTAAATCCTGTTGTTGGACCAGCCCAGCCACTGCTTGGAACTGTGCAGACAAGACCCCTTCATAATGTCCACTACTGACCTTCTGCTCTGACCGCATAGGACCATTTTGAAGATGACCTTCAGAAATCAATAATATGGGTTTTAGTTTGTCTGTTTGTAGTTTATTTTGAAGACTAGTATTTCAGTAATTTAAAAAAAAATCAGAAGCACTGAACTTTCTACGTTTTATAACATTATTTTGTATATAATGTATATTTATAATCAAAACAGAAGTGTAAATATGTTTATTACTTCTCATGTAATGTTTTTAATGTGATGACAAAGTTTGAATTTTATTTTTTTTTTCAAGCAATGAAAATACTTTCCTGCTACTATGAAGTTTACTGTGGTTTGTCCTTTTACGCATCAAGTTTCCGTGACTCTGTGACAGCCAAAGTTACTTGAAGCCCCAGACGTGAGCCTGTCTGCCTGCTCCCTACAGCCCTCCACTTACATTGTGCACACCAACTGCTGTCGGCTGCTTTTATAACCACTCACTGGTGTCAACAAAGTCGTTCAGATGAGTGGCATTCATCTGACAGAAAAGTTATGCATATTTATACATATATTATATAATATTTAAATTATATATGTATATATTCTTGCTATGGAGTGGGATTGAACTGTCAGGAAAGTTATTTTTCTTAACGCTTCACTCTTCCTCTCCTATGACAACTTGTGGCATGGAAGATACAGATTTAATACCATTTCAAAGTGGCTTGTGGGTTAATAAATATGCTGTGGTGGGGTTCTCTTGTAGAACAGGATATTATTATTTGTTTAATCCCATTTCTTTAAACACTTTCAGTAAGACCCAGTCTTGCCCTACTTGGATTACTCTTGCACAGCACCTACATCTACACCTGCAAGCCTGTATCCTTGTTTGGTTGCACTGGGTAAGATTTGTCTTTCACTGGAGGGATTAGGAGGTGTTTTAGGCTTTCTCCTCCTGAGCTCCCTGCGCTGTACCAGCAGCCGTGTCCTCCCAGGACATCACAAAGTCTTTATCCTCCACAGCCCTTTTGGAGGACATTTCCACTAAAAAAAGGGTAAAAAGCATGCTTGTATAAAACACTCCCAGCAGGTTTAGGCGCCCTGGAAGCACATACATTTACAGACAATTAAATCGCTCACTAGATCAGCTAGGTGCAATACAGCCAACGTCTGAATGCACAAAAGCAAAAACTGTAAGAACAGGAAACCACTGCTGCTCTATTTTGAAACCAGACTTTTGTTGTTGCTGCTGTTGACAAAATGCCAAAAAAGCATCTTAGTGTTGGATGCCTTTCCTATGTTTCCCCAAAATAAAATTTAACCAAAATTTGCTACTTTTTTGAAAAATACAAAACAAAAAAAAGCACCCACTGGCATTACAAAAAGCACCATAACAAATTATTTTTACTTTGTCGTTAAAATACTGCAAATAATGGTTTGTAAGGGTCCTTCCGAGTCTATTATTAAGCTTACGTTTATTAAATTTATTAAATACTATTTACTTTGGAAGGTTTTGTTTCTCCCTCTTCAGTTCCTTTCTTAGCGAAATTAACTTTCAAATCCCAGCCAATTTCCCTGGCTACCATAAAAAAATGTATTTAAGATGAAGCTCAGAAATAAAAAGCCACCTCCCCCTCCCCAAACATTCACCCTGTAGAGCAAATTATGAAAAACAAGCCATTGACAAAAAGCTGAGCAGATGCTCCCTGCTTGCAGTCCTTCCTCGGCAATGTGAAATAAACCCAACAGATGCCTCTCTTAATTGAGCACATGGATTACATACACACATGCACTCTGTCCTGCTTAAAACAAAACACACACAAAAATCAAACAGGAAAATAGCCAGAGAGCTCTTCCCAAAGCCTAGGCAAGCAGGAATACTAAGACCAAAAAAGACTCTCCTCTTCCTGCTCAAAAGGAGACAGGAAACCCTATCTATAGACAGAAGGGAGTTGAAATCCATTAAAACCCATGGACCTGATTATGTAGATCCCACAGGGTAAAGCAGGTACAGCACATGCCTTTGTGTATCCACACAGGAGAGGGGGGGGGGAAAGAAAGAAAGTTAAAAAAAAAAAAAAGCATCAGCTCACAAGGAAATCTGTGAATATTCACTGGAGGCAGCGCTGCACTATGCAGCTACCAGAATAGATCACAGATCCTACACAGGAAAAACAGGAACGGTGCCTGCTTCCACACAGGAGGAGATGGAAAGCATATGTGAATCCACGCACGTGTGCACATCCCCAAGTCCTTGCCAAAGAAACTACAAGCAAATTAGCTGAACACATAATATGACCTGGATTTAACCCACATCTTTGGCCAAAACTTTCCTTATTGAGGGCTGGTGTGCACTGACTGCTCACGAGCCTGCTCCCTCCAAGTGTGTGCATCTCAGAACCAGTGTGTGAACTCACTAGGAGGAGCTCTGAGATTCCTCTGCGCTGTTAAGACTCAACCTGAATTACAAAGATTTCTCTTGATGCCAGGACCGTAAATGTACTGACAAATAACGCCTTTTCTCTTAACAAGCATACAGATTTCTCAGACTCAGCTGTATGACAAACTTCTCTCAGCATAATTTGCATCAATTATGGCAAGATTACAGATTTAGCTCAAGGACTGCACAAGCTCACTTAAAAAGCAGTGTGACAAAACACAGCTTTAAGAATGGCCTTCCAACTCTGAGAAACTCTTTGGTGTTTCTTTGTATTAGTACCTGATAGAAACTATTTCACAGCCACGCAGAACCCTTCAGTCTAAACAATTTCAGAGCTGGGTTGAGTGAGAAAGGTGCTGCTCCATGCAGTGCTTCGCTTGAGTTGTGCCATGTTGGGCTCCAGCCCTTCATCGTTTACCTCTTCAGCCAGTCCGCCGATCAGGGGAAGCAGATGCTGGGACATACCCGTAACTACAGCACCCACTGGTGCTGAGACAACACGCAGCAGCAGGACTGTGCCGATGCGAACGCAGCACGGGGTGTAGAGGCCAGTTGGGTTCATGTGGATGAGGGATGCTTGTGGAAATTAGGCTTGATACAGCCTAAAATGGGATAAAATGTAGACTGCATTTTATTATGCACACTACTTGTCCAGCAACAGCTCTCAGCCTTGAAAGAGCTGCTGAGAAAGCCTAAATTAGTTATTGTGTAATTGCCACCAGCCAGTCCAACAGATGAAACCCTCTCTGTAAAAACACATTTCAAGTATTTTCACTGCTCCTCAGTCTTTTTTAATTAGTTCATGCTAAAATGAGAAAGGCACAGCAGGTCACTAACAAACCTGTACCATAGTGACTTAAGTGACAGTTATGTATCTGTGTTTGCCTGTCATTCCCTTATCTCACATACGCGATCCATAAATACATATTGATTTTACACAGTAGGTGCGACACTCCCAGCACATTTTGCTCACAATCCAAACTTCATTTGTGGAGAATTGACATAACTCGGTGGGCTCTGCCATGCTTCACTATTGTCTTAACTTCAGTTTTACAGCCTCTCTGGAAAGCCAACGTGAAGATTTGGGCCCCTCCCCACTCTCTCAGTTTAGTTTTTTCCAGCTCACTTCACAGAGCTTGCAGGTAGTGACCTCGCTGGCCGGTGACGCCCAAAGCAGGGAGATTTCTCCTTGATGACTCTTGCTCCTGCTCTAAGCCTGTCTACTCTGCTGTCTGGGCAACAGCGTGACTCAGCACCATAAATCTACCCTTTCTCTTTCTCCACCCTCTGCTTGTCTTACCACCACTGCTGTCCTCGCTCCTCTTCTCCTGAGCAGCTTTGGGGCATATTTCTGCAGTGCAGTGGTCTATCATGCAGCAGGGTTAGGACGGGACTCTGATTCACCAGGT